GTAACGAAAATAAAAGCGTTAGTCGCTATCTCTCTTACTCTTTACCGCTTTCTATATACTTCTGTCCCTCTCACTCTATGGCCGACTATGTTGAGTAAATTGTTATTATATATCACCACATCGTCGCTGATAAAACACACACAATAGAAAAAATGTCAGGTTGCAGGTAGCTGGAAATCCTAGATAATATTATTGTTATAATAAATTATTAAAGTATTACAAATGAAACCGTTTATAACTTTCATGACTGTGTTGACGAATCCGGATTTTTCAGTTGTGATATTTTTTCGCGTTGTTTTGTTTCATCTCATCGGGCTCCGGTGTTATTGACCTTTCCTCCGTGGTGCGTGTTGTGTTGGACAATTTTTCTCAGTGTGTGTTAAGTTTTCGCGATCGTTTAGAGACAACATATCATGCAACGATGGTGTCGACGATAAACGAATGCAGTCGGCCRTAGTGTAGTTGTATTTCTCATTCGGTGTACTTATTTATATTATTATATTATTCCATCGTACGAGTACTACAAAAACTGCAGAGTGTAACGACGGTGAGAGATMAAAAAATACATATTATAATGGAAATCGATCCAACGAAATTGGTGACTGAAGATTGTGTACAACCATCTATGAGCACGTAGGTATAGAAATTTAGGTGATAGGTTGACAAAGTGCAACAACTATTTACTGCTGTATGTGTATAATTGATTTAAAACTATCGTTAAATTTAATCTTCTTTAATTCGTCATATTTTAGTGGAACAAAATAACTTTAAAAACACCGGCTCAATATCAAAAAGAGTACCGTCAACGACTAAAAACACAAAAACAAATAAATAACCCAAGGTGTGCATTTAGCTCACTGTTTATATATGTTGATTTAAAATTGAACATTTATGTACATTGCAATACATATGAATATGAAATTAATACTTTTAAAATCCATTTTAGTCAAAAAAAAAAAAAAAAAAGAAGAAGAGGAATAGGGAAAAAAATAAAATCTTAAAAAAAATGTACAGCGTCAAAAGAACATCGGCAACGTGAAAAAAGCACAAACAAATCACAGGAGAGGAGTGTATATACACTATATGAAAGAGTATCGCCACAAATTTTTATGTTCTCAGTTTGAGGAAAGTTTTAAACTGGAGTTTTGTTACAAACTGAAAATGTGTAAGAAATTTTTTTATAATTTTTTTAGTTATTTTTTTTTTTTGTTTTACTTCAGATCTAAAAAAACAGAAATTGGACAATATATCGGATAAGCCACGAGAAGAAATCATCACGACTGATAATTTAAAGTTTCTGGAGAATTTTCAATTAACAATAATACGGTGCTTTATGTATTTAATTATTTTGAAAAATTTGTCTTCAGATTAYATATTATTAGAAATAAACTGATAACAATGAAATTTATAATTTTTTTGTTTAGATCACAGCGCAGTATTCAAAATTTATTTGTTACACCATACAAGCAATCTCCCGAGTGTGCAATGCCGGACTTCATTTCGAACAGTTCGACTGAAATTAATCTTTAACCTATAAGACTGCCAAAGAAACTACGTTTCTGACAGCACTTGACTTTTTTTTTAATATTTTATAATATTATATGATATTATATGGCCACATTAGTGTGCACTACTAATATACATATAAATTTTAAAATTATGTATAATATGTCCAAATCTGTATAAAAGAACCCAATAGAATTACAAATTACAATTTTATGGCACAAAATTGTGATCCCATTGCTTTTAAATATTCCATATAGCAAAATTTTCCTGTGTATTAGTTTTAAGAGTATCACGTAAGTTAAATAATTAAAATTTGGATTCTTCCAGTGATTTTGGAATTGTTGGCAATTTTTTTTATGGAAATYGTACCTACTTTTCCTCCATAACTTAGTATCGGAATGAACGATATGTAAATCATTTTCAGTGCTACGTAATTCTTGTTGAATTATTTTATTYGGTCTYGTAAATAAGTCGTTTTCACATTTTCTTTTGATGCGGGAATTTACTATTTGTTACCTAACGATATTTTTTATAATGATGTTATTCTTTGTCGTAGGGAATGAGGCACGCCCTTCGCCCAATGTACTTAGGTACATCGCAATAGCCCTACCCTGACCTTCATTGGTTGGGGTAGTCTGGTCCTCCAGGTTGGGGGTTGATCGTAGGGCTAACAACCCTACATTATAAAACAAAACAACGTTAAGATACCACAAAACAAGCCTYGGAATTGGAACAAAACTGGACAACGATTGGAAACGGAAACGAGCATCAAACTTGGAACGTTAGAACGCTTAATAAAACTGGGGAATTAGTGTATGCTGAACGCCATTAAAAATTATAACATCTCTTTATTAGCCCTACAAGAAATGAGGTGGGCTGGAGAAAGAAGTCTCAAAAAGGATGACAAAACTGTTTTTTATAGCGGAAATAGGGATGGAAAATTCGAAAACGGAGTGGGATTTGTAATAAGTGGGAATATATTACCATATGTTAAAGATTTCCAGGCRATAAATGAGCGTATGTGCTACATACGGATAACTGGATGCATATTTGATCTTGTAATAATAAATTGTTACGCATCAACTGAAGACAAGGGAGATGATATCAAAGAAGATTTTTATGAAGATCTTGACAGGATATGTGATATAACATCTAATKATTCTGTTAAAATAGTCCTTGGGGATTTCAATGCGAAAATAGGCAAGGTCATATAGACCAACGATTGGCAGAGATAGTCTCCATGACACAAGCAATGACAATGGCACCCGCCTAATTAATTTCTGTATGA